CCGAAATGGACGATCTCTCGAATCCCCAACCGATTTGTGGGTTTTTCGCCGAATCTTTGCTTCTGTCAGAAACAGTCACAACAAAAAACAAAAAAAAGTGGTATTTCGGGTTGTTTCAGGTGGTAAAATCAAACCGTCGGTTTGTGTCAACTACCCGAGAATCCTGCATATATCGTTATGAGGTCTGTTTCTGTGCCTGTCTGTGAAATTGCAAATCTTTAACAAACTCTTTCCCAATTTTGTGGGATATACACAGTTCAACTTTTTCCCAGATTCACGTTTGCTTCTTTCTTTTCAATCCAGATTCATTGAAAATCTGTTTGTTGTTTCGGTCTCCTGAACCCTTTACTAGAAAGAAAAATGATTATCGCTAGTGCGGAAGAGTGAGGCAAAAGAGATAACCAACCTGGAGCAATCTGGCACTATCACAATTAATTCAACACTTGCATGTGAAAAAAAAGATCAAAATAGCGAAAAAAGGAGACCACGACTCACTCAAAAACAAAGCTTGAAAATAATGGGTTTTTAAGTATACATGCTACGACAAACGGACAGCTGTGTATCGTCTAGTGACTGATTACGGTAGTTTATCCATCAACTTTGAATTTTAACTTGTGTATTGAATTTTTGACTAACTGCAGAGCAGTGCAATTCGCCACAGTGGGTGCCGGAGAAAATCAGTTCCGAGCTTCCGGATTCAAGTGGATTGACACATCGAGAGATCCACTAGTGGAAATGTATCTGCGTTCTTGAACAACTTGCAACATTTAGATATCAAATCGAATCGCACAAACACGGCGAGTACAGAGCCGATTCGGGATACTTCAGGAGTCGTGACTTCTAAAGAAAGTGATTGATGATCATTGTTTGAAAGGATCTCTCTTCATTACGATCATTTAATAACACCCACAATAATAAAGTTCTCATTGAAACCTTAACTACACGTAATTCTTCGCAGACGTCGCCGAGAACATCACTTGGCAAATGAATGGGGAATTTCGAATGAAATCCCTCTTGATTCATGAAATCCAGATCTAATAGTCTATTCAGGAGCGACGAGAGAGCAAAATACTTGCAGCTTCCGGCGAAATTCTGGGTTTTCGAGAAAAATTTTTATGAGACTTTGAACAATTCAAACAATTCAGAAATAACGAAAAAGATAATGTGCAGTTGTGTGTTTTCAGAAGATTGAATAAAATGGGATTTGTTGGTTTTTCAAAAAGAACATAAGGGATTTATCAGAATTAAGTGCTCCTTTCGCATATAAAACGAAAGTGATTGTTAGGAAAATCGAATCCCCATTTCCCAGTGTCGCTCCAAAGCTGAAATTTGTTCATTTCGGATGGAAATCCTTTGATAAAACACTTTACATTATTTTACACAACGAAATTTCCTCAGATTGATCGAAAAATTTTAAGATTAATTACGCATTGGAAATCGCAACAAATTTCGATGATTTCACGCTGAAAATCTCACATAAGCGTGGGTGTTCGTACCCGGCTGTCTAAACCCCCAATTCGTGAAATCCACCGAACTCCCATCCATCCATTCAAAAGCATTTCCTTTGTTCGGATTTCTCTGAACCAAAAATTTTTATGTTTCACTATTGCTATTTCAACCATATTTTTTTTCCATTTTAAAACTATTCTAATTTTTCAATTCAAATTAGATTTCTATAAATTCTATCATTTCCAGATTTCTGTCAAAGAACTATCAGTCAAACGAATCTTTTTTACAAAGTGCGTTCCACAGTGGCTGAAAAAAATGAAAGAATTAAGTTTAATATATTCATTTATGTCTTTCAATAAGAAAAATTCAACCTTCAGTCCGATCCAGAACCAAGCATCTGAATAAAGAGTGTGCGCTGAAATAAATATTGTTTTTGGTTTATAAAGCAGAAATTCCTACGAAAATCATGAATTTTCGGAATTGAATCATTTCGATTTCTTACCAAGTTCCCGAACAAAATCGTTCTCTTCCTGACTGTGAATTGTGACTAAATGGCTCTTTCTGCCCCCACAATATGCCACGGCTTCATCAAATGTGATTTCTTTATTGAAGGCCTTGAGATGAAGATAATCCTGGTTCAAAACATCCACCAAACCTTGTACCAAGAAGCGCTTTTTGCCAAATACGACCATCCATCCCGAACCAAGAAAGTCATCGTACGATCTCTGAATTTCTTCGAAAATCTTGACTCCGGACTTTCTTGAAACAAATACTACTTCCTTTTCCATTAAACAAACTCACAAATCTGCCTGCAACTTCGCGATTTCGGCCGCCTTGTTTTCCCTTTCAGATTGTCTAAAGAGGAATTGATTGGATTGAGTGGAATGGGTGTTTGGGAAATGAAAAAACTGTTTTCTGAAGTCTCAGTCGACAAGAGATGAACTCACATTTGAGCCCTCAATTCGGTTATTTTCGTTGCTCTAAAAGGAGTTCTGTTAGTTAACAATCTGTCATAACAAAGAATAACCAAAGAGGGAAGAAAACTCACAAATTGGCTCTGAGCTCAGTGTTTTCGGACCTCAATTTCCTCTCGACCTCAGCATTTTTCTCCCTCGTTTCGTTCAACTCCTTCGCAGCCTCGACGAGTTCTTGTTGGGTTTTACTCCTGAAAAGTCTTGTCATTGGGACACGTCATCTTTCTCAGTCAATGTGAACAAAAGGCAAGAAGTGATGAATTCACGAAGATCAACTCGAGAATCTCGCAAAGTGATGATCGGTCGACGAAAATTGGTGCTGAATTGAAATCCGAGTTGTGAGTCTTGAGATCTCTTGAAGAAATATCTGAAGATGAAACACTTCTAGAGATTCCAAAGTCGCCGAAATGTCAAGGAAAATGGCGAAGTTGGAGGCTGATTTGGTTGACGGAAGGGAGAGAAATTGGAAGTTGGAAAGGAAAATCGACGATCTCGAAGCACGATTGTACTATTTTTGTAATATTCTTTTTTGTCAACATCAAATAAAGATAAAAATCGGAATTTATTAAGAAGCGAGCCAAATATGGAAGTGAGAGAAGGAAAGGCCAAGATTGAAGAGCTCGAAGGGAAAATCGACGCGTTGCAGAGCAAGAACTCTGACCTCGAAACCCAAATGTGAGTTTATTTGGCATCTCTTGTTGACTGAGACTTGAGAAAACAGTTTTTTTTTCACTCCCTAAACACCCATCGCACTCAATCCAATCAATTCCCCTCTAGACAATCTGAAAGGGGAAAAGAGTTGCAGGCAGATTTGTGAGTTTTTTCAAGGAAAAGGATTGAATATGTTGAAAAAATCTAGAGTAAAGTTTTTCGATGAATTCCAGAAATCGAGCAATGACTTTCTTGGATCTGAATGGCTGGTCGTATTTGGCAAAAACCTCTTCTTGGTACAAGGTTTGGTGGATGTTGTGAACCAGGATTATCTTCATCTGAAGGTTATCGATCAAAGAATTTCATTTGATGAGGCCGAGGCATATTGTGCGAGTCGAAAGAGCCATTTAGTCTCAATTCAAAGTCAGGAAGAGAACGATTTTGTTCAGGAACTCGGTAAGAAATCGAAATGATTCAATTCCGAAAATCCAAATCTGAAAATGATTTTTGTAGAAATTTATGCTTTTTATACCAAAAACAATCGAGATTTATTTCAGCGAAAACGGTTGATTCGATAAATTTGTTTTGGATCGGACTGAAGGTTGAATTTTTATTGAAAGACATAAATAAATAAAAAGTAATGATCTTTTCAGCCATTATTTTTTTTTTGCAGCTATTTTAGGAAGTTCTTTGTGAAAAAATGGTCTCTTTGACTGATAGTTCTTTGACAGAAATCTGAAATGATAGAAATTGATAGAAATCTAATTTGAATTGAAAAACTAGAATAGTTCTAAAATGGAAGAAAAATTTGGTTGAAATAGCAATAGTGAAACATAAAAATTTCTTTATTCAGAAAAATCTGTTTTCATTTTGGCTTTCTTTGTTTTAAAAGCATACTAGGAAGCATACTCGGAAACTTTTCTATAGAAAGTGGCATGTATTGGATACCACTTGAAAGCTCTAATTCTCAGCATCATTATTACATCTAAGTTTTTTTTGGCCAGAGCTAATTATTGACCCATACTCGCCTTCGATATGAGCTCACAAGCACCCCACGGCGCCCTGCCATTTTTCGTGGTTTTTTTACATAAAAATCTGTCCAAAAAAACAGGAAATACGGCCAAATTCGTACATATTTTATGAAAATTGCTTTATTTCAATACTTTGAAACCAAGAGGACAATCCAAAAGTGCCTCAGACAGCAGAAGCAGACATCCCGAAAAACGTGAATTTCACTACTCGCCGCAAAATGGCGGTTTGCAGCAAGTTGTGAGCCCGTTTTAAGAAAGAATTTGCACATGCTCGGTTAGAGTTTGCCTTTATTTTGAACCAAAAGTATTGGGAAAAGATTACCCAGTTGAAAACAATCATTTCAAAACACACCTTACATTCAAAACCACGAAAAATGGCAGGTCGCCGTGGGGTGCTTGTGAGCTCATATCGAAGGCCAGTATAGGTCAAAAATTAGCTCTGGCCTAAAAATCTTTGATGTATTAATGATGCTGAGAATTAGAGCTTTCAGATGGTATTTAGACATGTTCATTTTCGAGTTTTGGCGGCCGGGTCGGGTCAGCGGGTCGGGTCAAGCTCAAAATTTTCGCCGGGTCGGGTCAAGTCAAAAATTTTTGCCGGGTCGGGTCAAAATATCAATGCAAATTTACCAAATGTTTTTCAAGAAATGTTATTAACATAGGTATTTATTCAAACGCAACAATGAAATAGGCAAACAAAAATTAACAACAACAAATTACTTATCAATAACTGCTCGAATAACTACAATCCGATCCATAAGAAACAAACTCACTAGTGCTATTAGAAAAGTCACTGCTTGAATCCGATCCTTTTTCGATGTGTAACTCTGTAGCAGCTATCTTCAGAGCCGAGCGATACCCATAACGAGTCTCCAGCGAAGTTGGCCAAACTCTACTCCTAAAATTAGCATTTGTTTCTGAATACAAAAGAGACTAACTTCATGCACTTTTGATTAAGGCTAACTATAAGGGCCGACTTCAATGTTGTAGGGGCCATCCGCTGTCGTCGACTGTTTTTCCAAATTAAACCACACATACTAAAATAAAACTATTACTACATATACGAAAATTGTACCTGAAAACACGCTCCGAAGAAACGGAACTAGCTGGTGGCGACATATATTGAACCGCAATCGGATATAAACTAAAATAGTAACTGAAAACTAGAAAATAGAGTGAACAAACTTTTTGAAACGAGCTTTGTTTTGGAACCACCACAGGTACAAGTTTTCAGTAGTAGACGGACGGGCTTCCTTTGTACAAAAGTGTACGTAGTCGTCAATCTCGAGCTATAACATCTTAATATACACTAAACTAAGATTTTTACCCACCTGCAAAGTTGAAAGGCGTGTTTTTTTGGAGACAGCCATTCCAGTGGATTGATTGCATGACTTTCCGGATCCTTGCGCATGTCGGGCTCAATTTGATCATCCAAACAAAGAGAATCTAAGCATAAAACGTAACAAATTATTTTTTGAGAAAGGCTACCGTTTTTGAAGAGGATCCGCTCTTTGATGTTATTCCAGACAAGCTCGTCATATAAAGTACATCTGCAACTCCAGCGTGGGTCCAAAAAAATTGCTTCTTGCAAAAACTCATCCTGATAAGCTTCTGCGGTGGCTTTGTTGAGCTTGTCTGTGAACTCTTTGCATATATCGATAAGAGCTTCATCTCCTAGCATCATTCTAAAATATTAGATAAGAATTTAGGCATTTAACAACAAACTTTTCACTAGTCATTTTCAAAGTTTTCAATAAATAAATGATATCCGAAGGTGAAGAACTATCAGAGGACATCTAAAAATCAATAATAATAAAATAAATAAAAATGGCATTTACCTTTCTTGAATATTCGTCAAAAAGCCCAAGGATTCCGACAATTTTTTTTACCACACTAAGTTCTTCTTCGTCTAGCACATCTTTATTTATCTCTCGTAGGATTGCATTTATCGGACGTGTCTAAAACGTAAAGCTTTCAAGAAAATTTAAAAATACGCACTGCTCTCAAACAATCAATTAGTAGATAGTAGAGTGAATTCCAGCGAGTTTCACACTCCGATCGAGGCACCACAAGTGGACATGCATACTCTTTACATAAGCTTAAAGAAAAAATTTGACTTTCAACTGAAACTAGATATACAAACCCAATAAACTTGCGTCGCGAAATGCCCGATTTGTGTATGCGACGAACAGCTGATTTCATCCGATCAATAATACTAAGCAAAAAGCTTTGCTTCAGAAGTCTTCTCACAACGAGATTTAGCTTGTGGCCAAAGCAATTCACCCTAAAGCAAAAAAATCAAACAAATTAAAGAAAGTAATGAAAATTTTACCAGTTCAATTTTAGATGATCTCTGATAGCCTTTTTGACGTCAGATCCTCCATCAGTGGTTGCTGTTTTCACCTTTTGTTCAATCTCCAAATCGAACATTGTTTTTTTTAAGTCGGCAGCCATGTCTATGCTTTTCCTAAAGCCAATTTTTAGAAGCTAGGTATAAGTAAATTTATTACTTAGATAACAGCGGAAAAGCATCGATTAGTAAACTTTTCTTCAGGCCGTCTTTGCCGTTTACAATATGGGCGTTTACAATATACAACAACCTAAACAAAAATGAATTGAAAGAACAAAAGTGAAAACAAAAAAACCTGCAATGCGTATTCACAATTAGGACCGGAGCTTGTGTCCGTTGTTAATGCTACATTGTCAGCATTTTTCAAGTAGTTTTTCGTCTAAATGAGGAACAATTAATGTAATGACTCGAATTTTTAGACCTCGGCTTTTATTTCCTGAGCTCGCTTCTCAATAATACGCGTTAGTTTTCCTCTTGATATTGGCTTGAATGGCCGTTTCTGAGCAAGGATCGCGCACATCTCATTAAAGCTTTTGCTTTCAACCTAAAATTTTCTTTGAAATTGAAATCTATAAAAACATACAACGTTAAAGGGTATGTTATTGCTACAAAAAAACTCGGCTATTTTAAGGCTAACCACATCAATCGTTTCAATTTGCTTTTCCTTGGCACAGAAAGTTGTAATAGGCACAATTCTTGGCTTTCCTTTAGCCTGCCTAAAAACAGAAGTTTGAGAGCATTTAATACTAAAACTTACTTTGTTTTGGCCTCCTCAAATATTTTCTTGTGTTTGTTATTGAGATGATCGTTGAGGTTTTTCGTACCGCCTTTTTTGCCTCTTTTGTATTTGGTGTTGCAGAGGTTACACACATCTTCGTCGCCAATTCTTGCGAAAAACGATCGGGCAATTGAGGACATTGCTAAAAAAATGAAGTTTAGTGAAATAAAAAAAGCCAAATTAACAATAAAAATAATTTTCATGAACGCAAAAAAAATGATAAATGAATGTGAGAGAGCATCGCAGCCTTTATAAACTAAGCATAAAGTATTCAGTCAAGAAAATGGGAGGTCGCAGTTTAGACATTGGCGCTACAAATTACAAACGTAAACTACAAGCGCTTCTAACTGGCTTCAAATCTGTTGCATTGATATGAACTACAACTCAAAAAAATAGAGAATCTCAAGTGCTTTTGCATGGACTCTAGTACATCCAAAAATATCAATGCTAAAGAAAGTTATAGTGGTTTGTATTCTGGCTCGATTGTTTCAACTTCGTGCGAGTACCGTCCGTTTCGACAGGACCAAAAACTTTAACTTTCTTTAGCAATGATATTTTTGGATGTACTTTAGTCCATCCAAAAGCACTTGAGATTCTCTATTTTTTTGAGTTATAGTTCATATCAATGCAACAGATTTGAAGCCAGTTAGAAGTTTTTGTAGTGTGACAGTTCGTCATTTTTGTAGTTTATAGTGTCCATGTTCATCGCAGTTTAGAAAAGATAGTTGGCATTAGTCCAACAAAGCCGGGTCGCGGGTCGGGTCAGCGGGTCACCCGGGAAAAAAGCCGGGTCGCGGGTCGGGTCAGCGGGTCACCCGGGAAAAAAATTATATCTACAAGACATATTTACATTATCTACTTGCTTAATCGTTAAGACTACCCAAAAAGAGACAAAAATCTCCGCCTATAGAACCAACGGTGAGAACAAAAATCAAAGGTAAATCGACGAGTTGAGGGACGAGAAGAGCGACCTTCACGAAGAATTGTCCGTTTCCTTATGCTGTTGTCCATTGGTGTTCAACACGTTTATCTAATAGTCTATTCAGGAGCGACGAGAGAGCAAAATACTTGCAGCTTCAGGCGGAATTCTGGGTTTTTGGGAAAACTTTTTATATGAGATTTTGAACAAACAATTCAGAAATAAAAAAAAAGATAATGTGCAGTTGTGTGTTTTCGGAAGATGGAATAAAATAAGATCTATTGGTATTTGTCCAAAGAAAAAAACACAAGTCGTTTATCAGAATTGAGAGCTCATTTTGCAGATAAAACGAGCCTGAGAAATAGGAGAATATGCCATCCATTTCCCCTCGAGGCTCCGAAGCTGAAATAAGTTAATTTCTGATGGAAATCCACTCTGCGTTATTTCACAAAAAAACTCCTAAGATTGATCAAATGTTTTGATCAATTTTAATTATAGATTGGAAATTGGAATCAATATTGATAATTTCAGGTCGAAAATCTCACCAAAGCGTGGGTGTCAGAATTCGGGTGTCCAACATTCCAATTCGTGAAATCCATCGAACTTCCATCCGTCCATTCAAAAGCATTTTCTTTGTTCGAATTTCTCTGAATAAAGAAATTTTTATGTTTAGACATTGATATTTCGATCCGATTTTCTTTTTCCTTTTGAAATTATGCTAGTTTCTCATTTGAAACCATTATTTCTATCAAAGAACTATCAGCCACACGAATCTTTTTTTACAAATCTTCCGAAAATGACTGAAAGAATCATTAGTTTCTATATATTTATTTATGTCTTTCAATAAGAAAAATTCAACCTTTATTCCGATCCGGAACCCCCAATCTTCCTATTGAGATTATTTTAGTTTTCCAATCGAAACCATCATCTCTATCAAAGAACTATCAATCAAACGAATAAATTTTTCACAGGCGGAATTCTGGGTTTTTGGGAAAACTTTTATATGAGATTTTGAAGAAACAATTCAGAAATAAAGAAACAGATAATGTGCAGTTGTGTGTTTTCAGAAGATTGAATAAAATGGGATTTATTGATATTTGTCTATAGAAAGAAACATAAGATATTTATCAGAATTGAAAGCTCCTTTTGCAGATGAAATAATCCTGATTATAATCCTGATTGGTATAAGGATAGGCCAGCCATTTCCCATCGTGGCTCCGAAGCTGAAATGTGTTCATTTCTGATGGAAATCCTTTGATAAAACACTTTGCGTTATTTTACACAAAAAACCTCCTCTGATTGATCGAAAGATTTTTGGATTAATTATGCATTGGAAATTGGAATAAATATTGATGATTTCACGTTGAAATTCTCACCCTAGCCTGGGTGTTCGAATCCGGCTCTCCAACCCTCCAATTCGTGAAATCCACCGAACTCCCATCCGTCCATTCAAAAGCATTTCCTTTGTTCGAATTTCTCTGAATGAAGAAATTCTTATGCTTAGACATTGATATTTCGATCCGATTTTCCTTCACAAAGAGCCTTCCGATAATGGCCGAAAGAATGATTACTTTCCATTTATTTATGTCTTTCAATAAGAAAAATTCAACCTTTAGTCCGTTCCAAAACCACCAATCCGAACCGACATTTTTCGCTGAAATAAATCTCGATTGTTTTTGGTTTAGAAAGCATCAATTTTTACAAAAATCATGAATTTTCAGAATTAAATGATTTCGATTTCTTACCGATTTTCTCAACAAAATCGTTCTCTTCCTGACTGTGAATTGAGACTAAATGACCCTTTCGACTCGCACAATAAGCCTCGGCTTCATCAAATGTCTTTTGATGAACGGAAGCCTTGAGATGAAGATAATCCTGGTTCACAACATCCACCAAACCTTGTACCAAGAAGCGGTTTTCGGCAAATACGACCATCCCTCCAGATCCAAGAGATCCAAGTGAATCATCGTTCGATTTCTGAATTTCTTCGAAAAATTTACTTCAGATTTTTAAAACGAATAATCAATCCTTTTCCTTAAAAAGAACTCACAAATCTGCCTGCAACTTCTCCATTTCGGCCGTTTTGTTTTCCCTTTCAGATTGTCTAGAGAGGAATTGATTGGATTGTGTGGAATGGGCGTTTTGGGAGTTTTCTCAAGTCTCAGTCGACAAGAGATAGATTCTAATATTGTTGCCCCAGTGTTTTTTTCTTAAAAAAGGTTTTTTTGGTAAAAAAAAACAAAAAAAAAAAAAAGAGAGAGACTCACAAATCGGCCTCCAACTTCGTGATTTTTCCCATTAAATCCGCCTCGATTTGGTCCATTTTCGTGGAGATGGTCCTTGACATTTCGGCGACTTTGGAATCTCTAGATGTGTCTCATTCTCAGATATTTCTTTAAGGGATCTCAAGGCTCACATCTCGGCTTTCAAATCAGCACCAATCTTCGTCGGTCGTTCGCAGAGTTCGCAGATTTTTCCTCGAGCCTCGACGAGTTCTTGTTGGGTTTTACTCCTGAAAAGTCTTGTCATTGGGACACGCAAACCTATTTCTTGTTCATTCTACCAAATTCGCTTTATTGATTTGCTTTTCTCCAAAAAAAACCCACAAATTTCTTTGACAAGACCTCAAATTGATGGGATGGACGGTATCAATGGACGACGAACCCTCGTCTCTACTGCTGAAATCTAACATCATCGAAAATCCCTTTCTGACCAACTTTGATGAAGAAATTCGATGGAAAAGAAGGAAAATCGTGATGAATAGACCGACGGCCATCACACCCATTCCGATCGATTGGTGAATTCGAAATTCAAGGTTTTGAATTCAAGGAAATGGGAAGAATGAATGGAGCGACGATGACAAAGTGCCAAAGTGAAAGTTTTGACGGCCCAAAGGGCAGGAATAACTGTTTTGACGAGCCGGAATAGATGTTTGAGAATGGAATTTTGAGCATTTAAAAATCGCTTTCTGAGGTCATTACAAACAGACAGACAGTTATTTTTAGATTCACAATACTACTAGTTTTTGTGGAGGCTTTATAATTGCTTGCTTTTGGTGTGAAAAGGAAGATAAGAATCTAATAAATCCATTCTATCACCTTGCATCTTTCGATTTTGCGATGTCACCGAGTTAAAGGCTTCGAAAAAAAGGGGTTCCCGGGGTTCTCCGTTTTTTTCCTGTTTTGAAATGAGTACATTTTTTTGTGTAGAATGACACATCTTTCATTAAAATTCATCAAAAAACGCAAATTGCACCGATGTGAGTCGGTGTTTTGAGTTTAAACTATTATACTACAAGGTCTTTGACAGAGAAAGTCCAACATCTCACATGTTTGGGCAAAAAAGCCTTCAGACACTTTTAGAAATTGGCTCTGTCTAGCCAG